CAGAACCCCATTCACGGCAATGCTTGATTCCAAAGTTAAGCAAAGTACATAGCCTTCAAACCACGGAACGTTTCACTATAGCACTGTGAACTCTGTTTTCAGACTTCCACTAGCCAAGCACAAAAACAATAGTGTCTACTCATTGCTCTGTTCTAAATACTGCCTACATGGGGCACACCTGAAATGGAAGGGAATTTCAATACAGCCAATGCAAGTGGAATGTTTTAAATTATTTTTGTTGATACTTTTTAGTATCTTTTTAATTTACTCACATATAGTTATAGCATACATTACCATACCAAAATTTGGGGTCAGATTTTTTTTTAATTAATTAAAAGTTTAATTTATCAGCTGGCTCTGATGGTCGCTAAGAAGATAGGACACAATGAAAACCCAGTGGTTGTGTCCTTTGGTCGCAGTCATGGAGGACACTGAGAGTGAGTACTCACACAGGATTGCACAATTCGCAGCTGGACGATTGGCATCTCAGGGCAGCCCGTGCTGGTTCTCAGCGCCCCGCCCCAGTGCCCTTCTTCCCGGAAGTGCATGAGGAGGTTACTAGAACGTGGACTGCACCTTTTTCTGCACGAAACCGTTCTGGAGCCTCTTCCTCCCTCACTAACCTCGATGGCGGAGCAGCTAAGGGTTACGTGGAGATCCCCCCCGGTGGAACTGTCTGTGGCGATGCGGGTCTACCAGGCCAAGGTGCTCAAGGAAATGCACAAGGGTATTTCCGACCCAGAGGTTATGCAGGAACCCTCCGGGCGACGAAAGTCACTGCACGCTCCCTGGGTCGGGCGATGTCCACGTTAGTGCTCAATGAGTGACACCTGTGGCTGAACCGACAAAGTGTGGTTCCTCAACGCCCCTGTCTGCCAGGCCGGTCTCTTCGGCGTCCCTGTGGAAAAATTTGCTCAGCAGTTTTCGGTGGAACAGAAGCAGACGGAGACGATTAAGCACATCCTGCCCCGACGACCAGCCGCTGCTTCCACCCAGTTATCGGTGACGCCTCCATCTGCTCATCCCTGAGGGCACCCCCCTGCGTCCGACTCCACCCCTGCTCAGCCTAAGCAGCAGCCTCCACCGAAGCAGCAGGAGGCCGGTTGCAAGAGGAGCACCCAGCCCGTCCAGGCCCCCACTAAATCAGCCAGAAAGCGTAAGGGCAAGAGGCCCTGAGATGGGCGACCCAGCAATGGAGGAAGCTGCTCTTGGGGAGAGTCGTGGTGTTTTGGTAGATAACCCCATTTGTCAGAATCTCTTCTGACTCACGTTGTAGTGATCTGATAAAGGGGAATGTCTCGGTCACGTATGGTAACCCTTGTTCCCCCGAGTAGGGAACAGAGACATGAGTCCCCTCACCACAGTTTCTGAGCTTCCGCTGTACGGCTGAGTCACAGGTCTGGTTCCTCAGTGGAAAAACAAAGATGCGAACGCACCTTCTGCATGTTATATGCTCGCACCGCGACGCACAGCAGCAGGTGCAATTATCGCATGCCAATGTGCATTGGCCTGTTTTATTTCACTCGAAGTAGATAGGCACTCGCAAGCGATCCCCATTCGTCAGAATCACTTCTGACTCACATCTCCGTTCCCTACTCGGGGAACAAGGGTTACCATATATAACCGAGACGTTATTTTACTACTTCTTCCAGCATGCGTGCAGTTGAGAGCTGTTGACAACTATGAGCTCAAAATACGCCACTTACTGTGTTGCTCTGATTGGTTGTAGGTCTATCCAATTGAGTGCAGAGTTGATTTTTTTTTTCTGGTTCAGTTAAGACACGCCACATAATCAAAGCCCAATGGAGCAGTATCAGACTCACATTCTGATTAGAATATGAGTACGAGGAAGTAAGGCTACAAGGAGGCATTAAATTGATAAAAAAAAAATGAAAAATTAAAAAAAAAAATCTAAAAACCTTTATAAAATTTTTTATAAAGGTTTTTAGAAAACATCTTGACCCAACTAAATTTGCATCACATTATAGGATCGTCATCGCACTGCATTGTACAGAAATCAGCATAGAAAGGATCTGATTACAGCAAAGGATCAGATGAGAAGTGGACGACTGCTTCCTAATTTTGAATGTCTGAAAGATACCAAAGAGAGATTGTATGGCCTGATACAGTAACAAATAAACTTAAACACTGTGCCTCACATTATTTGTAAATATATACGTATTTAGCAAATTTGTGTTAAAGCAACAGTAAGGAACTTTTCCTCTGTGGTTGCCCTACAGGTTGGAAGCGGAATTGTCCATTACCGCTGTCGTAAATAATAATTTAGCATACCGCAGCCTACAGTCACACACGTATGATATGTTTGAGAAGGATCACACTGACACAGAGAGTAGCATCAACTTATCGTAACTTTTACTTCAATTCCACTGTCCTTTCAGTCCCAAGTTAACGAACACATACATTCGTCAGGCATAACAGAATGCTTCCCGCACAATCAAACTCTATGCATCATGAAAACTAACTCAATGCATTATTAAACTCCCACTTGAGAGAACACAACATGTTTAATACAAATGTACACAAAACTTAATGAAATATGTTTAGTGAAATTAAAAAATATTTAGTTATTAGTTATAAATTTTTTTGTAATGTCACAAGTAATAATCTCAGGGTTTACTGGGTTTTACATGATTGTTTTTGTATTGGTGGTGGTATCCTTAAAAATAAACATTGTCACGTGTTTATCTTTCTTCTCACCGATTCCTGATGGTTAGAGGACAGTTACTTGAGTCGCCCCCTGTTGTTTCAAAGAATAGTACATCCACAGACATTGTGTGCTTCTTAGGGCTGTACAAATTGCCACACAATTGAAAACAGGTCTCAAGGAATTATATTTCATAAGCAAGATTGAACATTTGTTTCTGGTTGTATTTGGTCATGATATAATTAGTTACAGTAACGTCCAGAGGAGAAAAGCCTCGAAATTGAAAAATACTACTGTTATTGTTATTGTCACGAAATGTACGTAGTTTTAATAGTTTTTCAGTCGACAATGTAGTTATTTAAAGCTCAAATCTGTGGTTTATTTATAAAGTTAGCGCCTATTTAAAAATTTGATCTGACGTTTTAGGAGTTGTGAGAGCCAGGCTTTCATCGGGCTCTCAGCACTCATGTTCCCTGCCTGGAACAGCCATACCTTAGCTAGTGCTTCTGACGTTTGCCGCTGGCTCTGATGTCTCTAGTCTAGTGGTTAAACATGAGATATAATTTGTCTTGTGTTCATCTTATGGGTGATCTTGGGTCTCACAAAAAGAGAAAGGCTTGTGTTATTTTATTCTATATAGCCTAGGTATATGTAGGTATTATATATATATATATATATATATATATATATATATACACATTCTCTTCACTGTATGTAGGCCTATATAAAATGAAATTACACAAATGTTTTTGTTAAATGTCAGTTTAATGATCAATATTGTCATGTTTCATATTTTTTACATTGTCTACTCTATATTATTCTGCAATTGATATTACATTGTATTTGCTGTTCTTATTATTATTGTAATTTTATACCACTTGCAATTATCAATCTATTACAGCTATGCTGTTAAATGTACTATTCATAGTCACTATAATTTATTATTATATAGTCTCCCGTAATTGATGTCTTATTCCATAGCTATTGTTATAGTATTATACATAAACTATATGCTATTATTAATATTTGTATTATTATATTATGTACTTATGATATTATACAATTATACTATTCATTACTATTTTATTTGCCATATACGGTTTCTTTATTTTATTGACTAAACTATTTACTATTACTTTATCTTATATTTACTATTTGCTTTGCACTGTAGCTGTACCCTATCAAATGTATTAGGATCCATCGGCTATCTTTGTTATTGCTAAAATCGGGTCAGTCACAGAAAATGCTTTTTCCACAATAAGAAAACTTTATTTAATTTAATGTAAAAATTAAATCGTATCTTCACAATTCTTATCAAAAAATAAAAAGCCAGATAACCTAAGACTACATGCCAAGCCTGAGCTTTGACAATTTCTTATTTAAAAAAAGTCTAACTATCAGGATTTTAAATAACTAGAGATGGAACTTTTTATACACCATGTACAAACCACTGATTTCAGATAAATCCTTGTTTGTACCAAAGTCTGCTTGCCATGGTCTGTGTTTGAAAGAAACAAGAACTCTGTGCCACTAAACGTTATGCACTACGCAGTTGTCCACGTCTGTCGCCATGGTTACGACAGTATGGTTACTACATGGTTATGGCAGTATGAATGGAAACCGAGGATAGCGCAGATGTTGCGTCATTGGCAGTCTTTCCCTTATTTAAAAAATCTTTGGGATTTTTTAAACTTTTGGGATATTGACTTTTGGGATATTGTAAGTACTCAACTGCAGGAAATAACACTGTCCATGTGATTTTGGGATATTATTTTACCAAATTCTTACATATTGTACCTTTAATTGGATCGTTGCATGGTTGTGGTTTAGTACTGCTGTGATCTTATGAGTGACAGGTTATTCCGCCTTCACGCAGAGAAAATGTCTTTAGGGAAGAGAAGTCATCGCAAGATGGAGGGGAAGTTATTTTGGTTAAGATTAGGGCTTTTTTATATAATGATGTGCATAGAAAAAGTATTTGAAGAGTTCAGATGCAAAAGCCTCTAAATGCCATTTGAAATTTTCTTCTTTAATGATGATTTTTATCAAACTTGTATATTTAAGTTCAGTAATTTCACTTAAATAACAATTAATAGGTAATTATCATTGCCATTTAAGTGAAATCACTGAACTTAAATATACAAGCTTGATAAAAATGATCATTCTAGAAGAAAATTTCAAATGGCACTTAGAGGTTTTTGCATCTGAACTCTTCATTTATAAGAAATACTGCAATATTAGATTTAAAAAAAAGAATTGTAATTTTGATTTTAAGGAGACTTTAACAATTATATTCAAGTGACATCCAGAACCCTGCTGGCTGTGTCTATTGTACCTGGGCATGGGTTGGTGATAGTTTCCTGGGGCCGGCTGTCTGGTTGGGCTTCATCTGAATGTTTGGGCGGGCTGGCACTGTGGCTGTGGTCCTCCTTGGACATCTGTTCTGGAGCCAGGTGCCAGGACACTAGAAATTACCCTGCAAAAGAAACACAGAAGAAAACAAGGCTCAAGTCTGCGAACACACAGCTGTCCATGTTCCCACTATCACTTTTCCCTCCTATTGTTTGGCTCATGTCAGTGGGCCAAAGTACTACATAAAAACACCAGCGGCTTGGGAAATAATGCTTGGCAGAAGAAGAAGAGATTAAAATGGCACAATGAAGCAAGAGAAACATGGCCAGAAATGATATGATGTGCCAAGATACTAATTTCATGAAACAAAGAAATAAAAGAGTCCCAGAAATAAACAATTTTGACACTCATACAATGGCATTCCTGTGGCGAAGATGCTATTTCAAGAGTTTCTTTAATTAAAATGTCATGTGCTGGATGAATACATTTAACTTCTTAAATTAAGGTCAGGCTACTTCAAGACATAAGAAAGTTACTTCGTGACTACTAAAAACTCCACTAATATGAATAAGGATAATAATTATTATTAATCTTGAAAGAATCACGACTCGCGAGTAACACACAGAACAACATGACTGTTGGTTTTCATGCTGTGGTTTGTCTGTGGCGAGTCTCTGCACGCTCCTGCTAAAACTCACTCAAACCTGTTGAACGTGTCCACAGTTCACTTTGTAGACAAAACTGAATAATATGTAAAGCAAAACAGTCCAAATGTCTTACCTGCGATGGTCACTCGGTAAAAGTGTGGTTTCAGTGATGCATCATTTAGTGCTCGCGCAAAACAAACTTTCAAGAGTCCAGTTTCGCGGGGGAAATTCTTTCTCTTCATGTATCTCTATCTCTCTTCAAGTTTTTGAGTTGCTTTATTGTTTACATTAAAGTTGCCACTCGTTATTCCTCATTTGTTAATCTTGACCGTTATCTCCAGCGTTGAATAAACGAAGAGAGTTATATTCGTCTTCAAACTCTCCCAAGAAACTTGACAGAAAACATAGTAAAGCAAGGTCTTATTTTTTTCACTGTAGTAAAGGAAAACCAGAAATAACCCGTTATGAAAAGTTATATTTTTTCCTCTCACATGCTGCAAAGGTCCAGTAATAATGGAAGTTGTTGAGGTCGCTCTTCAGTGTTTTCACCTCGTACGCTGTCGCTCAGGCTCAGGAGGACTCTCGTGAGGCAGCAGCAGCAGCAGTCGCGCTCTCAGCTCGAGACTGTTCGACAGGAAATGACATTGAGGGCTGATTACTCCTTGCAGCCAAGATGCCTGTACTCTACAATTACACTAATTACACTCTCCAGGACCACATAATATACAAAGGTATGTCAATAGAAATCAGAATAATATATAATATAATATAATATAATATAACATAATATAATATAATACATATACCCGTTTTAAAACATATTACAGACACACTGTATCAATATGTATAGCATTAGGCTTATTTCACTTTTGGTGTGAAATAGCCTTTACAGTTGCCAAAAATATTACTTTCATTCAACTTTTTTTTTAATAAAAATTAAAAATAAAGTGAACTAGCCCAGGTGTGAAAAAGTAATCCAAAAGAAACGTAACACATTATTACTCGCCACAAAAAGTAACGCAATTAGTTACTTTTTTAGGGAGTAATGCAATATTGTAAACTTACCTCGTTTTAAAGGTCAGCATAGTCCATTGTTTAGTTGACATAATTATTGTTATAAATGCCTGAAGTCACAGAACAGATACAAATCATAAGTACAACTGAGATAGAAGTTTTAAATCAGTGGGCCATGTGCCGTCTCTCTCTTTTTTTTCACAGGGGGCGTGAACGATTTTACGCATTCCAATTTATATTAATTTGTGTCCGTGTCAGCCCTGAATTCCATGTTTATGGTTCTCCTTTCTCTCTCTCTGCAGCTTATGGCAAATGCTTTGCATGTGTAAAGGGAATATACATTTTGATACACTCCAATTGTGCATTTTGTAGACTTGGGCTCTGTGTATGTGTCATACTGAGATGATGGAATCAATTAAATGTTGATGACTGAGTAAGGTGCAATGTCCACACCCTCAGCCACTACTAAATCCAAAATGACACTCATTGCAAATAACATAGCACTCCTAAGACAGCGTCAGGCACTCATTATCCTCTGCCAATGTTTGTTGACCGGTGGTATGATATTCAACCCTTCAGGTTTGTGTCTTGGTAATTAACCTGACATTTACCAGGTGCCACTCTGCTTAGTTTCTTCTCTCTATGGCCTAAGGTTGCTGTGGACCCGAAGGCCTTAATCTACTGCATAGTTCCATCGAGACATGAGATTTTATGCTTTGCGTGCTTAAATGTGGCCCAGATAGGGTCTAACAGTGCTTGGCCAAGTGTGAGTTGTTAAAGGGATAGCCAAGCCAAAAATTGAATTTCTCTGATCGGTTTTTACTTTCAAAAGAAGTTATTTTGAAAAATTAGAAAGTCAATGGTGTTCATCCATGTTGTTTTGGACTCCATTGACTTTCATTATTGGGAAAAAAATATTCAGCATTCTGTAAAAGAAAGAAAGTCATACAGATACAGGTTTTGAATGTTAAGAGGGTGAGTAAATAATGACAGAATTTTCTATTTTTGGTGAACTATTTCTTTAAAGCGTTAGTTTTCATAAAAATAAAAATTCTGTCATTATTTAATGACACTGATTTTTATTATTTATTGATTTGAATTATATTACCATTTATGACAGAGTATATATTTTAAGTCTATGTTGTATTATGTGGGAAAAAAAAAAAAAAAAAAAAAAAAAAAAAAAAACGCAGGAACGCATTTTTGGTCCTCAGAGGGTTAATCACCCTCATGTCGTTCCACACCCATAAGGCATGCATTCATCTTCGGAACACAAATGAAGATCTTGACAGCCTACACAGCAACAACTTTCAAGTAAAGGCATCATTAAAGTAATCAATGCGATTGTGCTTTTTTTTTTCTCAAACAAAGCATTCAGAGTGCTTCCTAAAATTGAGGTTAAACCATAAGAGTCACATGGATTACTTTAATGATGTCTTTACTACCTTCCTGGGACTTGAAAGTGGTAGTTGCATAGGCTTTCAATGGAGGGATAGTAAGCTCAGATTTCATTACAAAGAAAAGAAAGTCTTACGGGTTTGGAACGACGTGAGGTTGAGTAATAACAGAATTTTCATTTTTGGGTGACCTATCCCTTTAAGTGATTGACTAATGCATAATTCCATAATCATAGGTCATTGTACATAACCATATCTAGGTCAACTGCTGGAACCTGGATAAAAAAACTGAAACGCTGACTAAGTAAATGACTTCCCGTAATACTTTGTGCTAGTGATTCATCAAATAATCTTAAAGATATGTCCAAATGTTGTTCCAAACATTTGTGATAAGAAACAAACAAGAAGGGAAAAAAAAGAATTTAAGTTTGAAACAGATTGAGAGAATGAAATATGTGTTATGGTTAATGAAAGTTATCATGTTACAAAAAAATTACAGTAGCGTGGTTAAAATAATGCTAATTTACGAGAACCTCTCCAAGATAGCAATGAGAAACATCGAGACACAGAGTCGCACATTACTCAAGTCCAACCATGTTTTTCTCTTGGATGTTATTTTAAACGTTTGACACTGATTGTTTGTAGCGGAATTGAACATTTTGGCACGGTGGGTGAAGGAGAGAGGGATGAAAATGTGTTTCTAATCACTCACAAAGATGCCTTTGTTCTCCTCTCCGTGGCCTTCTGTAAGCCAGCGGTCCCGGCTGAGGTATTCTGTCAGAGCCATCTTAATTAGACTCATTATGTTGCATTGGAGGGTGCAGGATATACTTAAATGAGTGTTTATGCGATTTATCATTTATCTAGGAGGATAAGTGGTGCGGATGGTGTATTTTGACACTCAGTAGTAGGTCATTGTGTAAACAGTATCAGTCAGACATTTCTTGAGTCAGTCAGTCTTGAAACTCAGAAAGTACCTGAGTTTATTGCCATTTCAACTAACACAGTCTCATCCCCAAAAGTCATATAACTGACGTCTTGGGACGTATTTTGACCCTACGTCAATATCCGCCTTTTTAGGGCCCCCTTAAACGTCGGTAGATGGCGATCCCGGGCCGTCATACAACTGACGCTTTACCTTTAACGTCAGTTAGGTGACGGGTTAGGTTTAGGGTTAAGTTTAGGTCTGGGGTAGAGTTAGGATCCCATAACCTCATCTACCGACGTTTAAGGGGGCCCTAAAAAGGCGAATATTGACGTATGGTCAAAAGACGTCCCAAAACGTCAGTTATATGACGTCTTGGGATGAGACCGGGTTGTTTCAACAGAAAACTACACATTTTTCCAAAACTTTTACCAAACTGAGTGGCCAGTGTAAGTTTCCTGCCTGTCAAACTCTGGGAGAGAATCTCAAAATACTTTAATCAAATAAAAATTGAACTTTCCCGAAAGAGACCACTTTTTCCGCCTTTTCTCTCAATATTGCAGCACCACCACTTCAAAACGGGGTCCTGTGTGTTTTAAAGATAAGCTTTCAGGGCAGATTTCAAACGAAACGCAGAGGGGGGGAAAAAAAAAAATCAGAGAACCTGATCCCGGTCTAAATGGGTTGGAATAACACTCTCCACCCTGTCTGTATGTCAGTGAGAGATTTTCTCAGAAGACTGAAAGGGCTCTCTGACTGGGCCTGTCCTGTTTTCTTTTTTTTTTTTTTTTTTCATTCAGTCCTATTCAGTTTTTGGCTGGTTTATTTACCCCTCCTGGTGGACAGAGCCTGTAACACAACAACAAGACTTTCACATGTACACACTTCTGTAGGGTTTGAACACATGACTATAATGTTGTCAACAGGCATTTGTACCATTACCCGCCTTCAAACTACTCATATCTAACTTACTGACACACCATTGTTCATGTTAGCATCATCATTTCCCCTCTGTCCAATTAGTGAAATTAATTATCCTTTCTTCCTGTAGTAGCTGTCAATAATGCACACTGAATTCTACTTTATTACATATTTATTATTGTTCCACTAGGAATACTGTATTTTTGACTGAGTTTGCACGATTCACTTTGACTAACTGTTTGTAACCAGTACATTGTCTTGTCCTTTATGTGTAACTTTATGTGTCTGCACTTTGACGCTTTATCTTGGCCAGGTCGCCGTTTTTAATGAGAATGAGTCCTCTTATGTGCCTACCTGGTTAAATAAACGTTAAAAAAAAAAAAATCAGCAAAAATCTTTTTTATGCTAGTCATTTTATGCTAGACAATGCAATGCTTTTTTGAAAGATTCAGCACTATTTCTACACTGTAAAAATTAGTATGACTGAATATGTTAAATCTAATCAATAAAATTGAGGCAACAGATCAATCAATATTATTATAAAAAATTTGAATTGAGTAAAAATTAACCAAATGATTTACTGAAATAATGATTATGTTAAAACACAACCAACACCATCAGATCACCTTATCTATTTGTTCATCTGGATATTCACGTATAACAGCCAAACAACATCTAAAGTTAACGATTTAAGGGTCAAGAGCCCAACTAACACACACACTGATCACCATAATGGTGACTTAAAAATTCCGGTTTTCTCCTTGAGTGATTCTGCTTGTAATCATCAGGTGTCTTCAATGATGGCAATAATAGAAAGAGTTCTTAATTCATCTTTGACGTCAGTCTGTTTGTAAAATTTTTTTTTGTAAATTCTACTAATTTTAAATGGTTAACTTTTAAGTAATTCATTATATTTTTTTAAATTTAATTAATAATGTTGATTGTAATCTGTTGCCTCAATTTTATTGATTAGATTTAACATATTCAGTCGTTTTCATTTTTACTATGTTGGTCAAATAAGTACATCAGTGTCTAGCTTACTCAACAAAGTGTAAAGTAAGTGAGAGAAGGTTTGTGCTCAAATATGGGCAATAAATTATACAATCAAGCGATTAGCTGGATTAGCCATTACACAAAGAGGTAATTGCAAGCATTAGCCTATTACTCAACATGGGTGAAGCACATAAAGACATAACCACTTAAGTTTCTTTTCTATATATCATCAAATGGACAGGGACATGATGTTCCCATTCCTAAGTTAGTTGGAAAGGCAAGTGCTCTGTAGACATTCCACTTCCTTGAAGTTGAGTTCTCTGCTTTCTGGTTCAATCACCCACTTTACACCAAAGTCAATGTGTCACG